TTGCCTTGAAAACAAAGCTTATCCCTCACAAGCTAGTGTTCTAAAATCATGTGAAGAGCTCGAAATGAAATGCCCAAAACAACAACAAACAAACAAAACTTGCCATTTCAAGGGGACTTCTTGTGGGAGGGCTGGTGAAGAAGCCTATTAACACACCCAAACATGAGCGGCTCCACAGGACACAGAGAACACAGGGCGAATGATGCATATGCAACAAATACCCTAGAATATCAATGAGCCTAGAAACACACTAAGGTCATTTGTGAAGGTCAGGGCTCCCAGCGTCCGAAGGAAAGAAAGCTTCCAAGACAATATTAAGGAAAAGGAGTTTCCGGCCATAAACACAACAGAGGTGGTGCTGGCTCTGAAGAAGCCTGGGGGTTACAAGGCCAGTCTCTCAACATCAACACATTGGTGAGAGAGCGGCCCTGCTCAGAAGGTTGGGAACTTCCCTACCAGCACTGGGCTCTCAGCTGCTCTGAAACCAAGGCAAATAAACGTTTACTCCAGGTCAGAAATAACGGCAGTAAAGTCCCCCAAAAATGCCCAGTGGAAGTTCAAGATAAAAAGGAGTCTCTCTCTCTCTTGCCCTTTGCTCTTACGTGAGCCTCTGTAAAAGCTTATCTCCATTAAGGCAATAGGACAGTCTTGTTTTAAGGGCTGAATCAGGAACAACTGCTTCTAGGATACCTTTTTTACTTGAGAAGTCTAAAACCCCCAAGAACCTGAATGAGGCCCTGAAATGAACTTCAGCAGTAAGTCACGTTGCCTGTACATCAGGTCTACTGGGGCACCGTTCAAAAGGATGAGGCAGATCTGTATTACTGACAGGGAAATATGCCCGGGATAAATTGTTGAAAGGCAAAAAGCAAGCAGAATTGCAGAGTAATACGTCACTTTTGTAAAACAAACTATATACATGTACTGTAAATATGGACATAGAAATTTTTTTCTGCAAGGCATAGATAAGGGTCAAGAAGAATACATATATATAACCATCAATTATTATTTCTCTATTAGGGAAAGAGATTAGGAAAGAAGGGAGAGAGAACTTTCCCTTCTGTTTCATACAGTTCTGCAGTGTTTGCATTTTCTTATAGTAACCATGCATTATCTCCATTTTTAAAAATTAAAATTTTTAATGATGTCAACTAGACTTACTGTGATCATTTTGCAATATATACAAATACCGAATCATTATGTTGTACACTTGAAACTAATATGGTTTATGTCAATTATACAGTTTAAAAAAATTTAAAGCAAGATTCCATTAAAGGTATTATCAAACTATTCCCAAATAAATGACTTCTCACTATTGCCCTTCAAGCCACAGCTATAATACTCAACAATAAATGGGGATATTTCCAAATGGGCCAGCACTTTATCTTTAGAGCAAGAACAGGAAGACAGCTGAAAGTCAAGAAAACAACTGAATGAATGAGAGGTGTCATGGACCAAACTGGCAAGAACCAGTCAGTTTTACAAATGTTATATCTGAATATCAGTGAATAGGACTAATTCCAGAAAGATGGGTATAGACTCACCAGATAAAGGTTATTTTTGTCCTGAAAGGCATACTGTAACTGGGGAATCCAGGAACTTGTGCTCTGGGATAATATGTTCTGTTCCTCCTCAAAAAACGAAACCTGGAGGAAAAAGAAACACTTGAGATAATTATTAGGAATTAAGCGTGTGTGTGCATGGCAGATACCTAAAATGAACATCATTAGAACTGTAACAACCTGAAATTAAGTCACCTGTTGGATGCAGTGAGAAAAATCGAGCATGTCACCAGTGATATTCCTGCCAAAGATCTATAACCTAATCTAAACATGAGCAACATCAGACAAATGAAAATCTTACAAAATACCAATTATCTTCAGAACTGCCAAGATCATGTGAGTCCTGGAAAAATTAAGGAATTATTCCAGATTGAAAAGGACTAGAAAGACAGGACTAAAGCCACATGTGATCCTGAACTGGATCCTTTTTTTCTAAAGGCCATAGAACAATTGATGAAAACATGAATGGGTTTGAGATCAGATGGTAGTAATATATCATCGCAAATTTCCTAATTTTGATGTTTCATTGTGGTTCATAAGAGAACATCCTTACTGTAGGAAATGCACACTGAAGTATTTAGAGGTAATGAGGCAGCAGGCTAGCAACTTATTTTCAAATGGCTCAGGGATAAGAAGCTATTTATACCTTATGAGATAATTTTACATGTCAACTTGGCTAGTTTTGTCCATGCTCCATGCACTATCTCAAATCATCTTACATACCAGTGGTACATTTAACACATTTGGGAAACATCAATCTAACCCCTGTAATCTAAGGCACTCAACTTGCTGATCCTTCTTTTTTCCTGGCACATAAAAGGTGTTCAGTCAAAGTTGGCTGAACTGAAGAGTCTAAGCTTTTACTTGCTCACCATCAGCTTTTTGTCTGACCTCTAAAGCTTACATTAAAATAGTCTCTGAGGACCTCACACAGCTCTGGGCGGGTGTGCAGGCCTCCACTAAGTGACAGGGCTTGCCTGCAGGATGTCACCTCTGCTTACCTCCTCTCTGGCATTTCCTATCACTCACTCCCTGTGCTGGCTTCTCTCTTCTCATGCCCTTAAATTCCAAAGTCTTGCCATGGCTCAGTCAAGGACCTTACTTTTCTTTATATTCCCCCTCTTTAGTAATGGGGGCTGGCCTTAATTAGCTCTGGTATGTATATGATTTTAAAGACACCCAGTCCCCCTCACATGGGGTCACCTCCAGGCATTCACATGGAGGAAGGCACACCTATGTGAACATCTTTATGGCTTGCCTGCAGGGTGATCTGGATTATTTTCTTTTTACATGCACTATTTGCCATCTAAAATACAAGTGGTGCAAGATTGGGGCTACATCTAATGCCTCTTCCCAAGGACCTAGAAATGCAATAAACATGACAGGTGCTCAGTGAGTGTGTACTGATGATTGATGGCTGCTTAGGTGTTGGGAGTCAGACTGAGCATCTTCCACTCCTCCTTTCCAAATGATCTGCAACATCCTGTCATTTTTTTTCCTTTCTGTGAAGTTGTTCACATTTCGTTCCTAAACATGGGCTACATCAGTCTTGGACTCTGACAAGCAGCTCCCTGCCTTCCACCGCTTCTTTGACTGGAGGCCACACAAAGTCACAGAAGTCCTCAGACTCTGGTCCCGACTCCCACCTTCCAAAAGTCTAAATGATCCCAAACTGTCTCACAAATTAAACTGCCATTCCAAAAAACTGGTTTTGGGGGAATGGAGAGTTACAGTTTAGTAGGTATAGAGTGTATTTGGGATGATGAGAAGTTCTAGAAATGGTCAGTGGTTGGGGTTGTACAACATCATGAATGCATTTAATACCAATGAATTATATTTCAAAAATGGTTAAAATGGTAAAGTTATGTTATATATATTTTTCCATAATAAAAAAAACGTGCTTGAGATTTCCCAGCAATTACTCCTTCCCCACCCAAATGTCCTCGTTTCTCCCCATTTCCCAGTCTGTTTGTTCTAAATCACTAAAACACAAACACACACACACACACACACAATCTGTATAGCATTCTAGTACTCAAATCTCCAGAATGTCACACACATCACACTTCCACCTCGCACATTCTTGTCACTACTCTCTGCCCAGAACCTACATTCCCTCTCAGCAGTGTGAACTTCCCCTAAATGTCCATGGCTCACCCACATCTCCCCACACTCCATCACTGGTGAATTTGCTAACAGCTCTCCCTTCTGTGATGCTTTAGCTGCTAAGCGCCTGCTTTATATATATATCTGCATTTTGCTTGTGCTTTCCAAGGTTGATTTTTAAACTCTGAAACTAACAGCCATGGAGCTTCAAATCCTGCTGCCAGCTTCCCACGGAGCTGGGCACATTATCGGACACATGATGTGCACTCGAACATCTGTAACTAATAAATTACTCTTGGAACGCCAAGGCTGACGGCGTCTCTCTAGATACACAGCAAATGAATCAATATGTCTGGAGCAGCAGCCTGGTTTAAAAGAAAGAAAAATACTACAATTGGAAAGATAACTTCTTACGTGCTCTCAAATAAGCAACTCCCTAGCCACAAAGCAATTTTCTTCAGTTTCTTCAAAGGCCTGTTTTAAAATCAAGTACACATGCCCACAACACAAATATATAAAATGTGTACCAAAGCAAATGCTATCTGACTCACCCCACAATATGCAGATCTCTGAATCCCCAGATGATGAGCATGAAAGATCATCTTATATCTTTTAGTTAAAAGGCCAAGTTGATTCGGAAGAAAAGACAACTACTGAAACATGATACAGAAATCTAGAGGAGCTTGTAAGCCTTCAAAATGAGTCAATACCAGTTCAGAAGAGCTGAGAATGAAGGACCCTTTTGCCCGGGGAACTGTAATTAACCATAAAGTCACAGAGAATGTGCTTAATCCCAGATGTCAATTCAGTTTATCGTCTCAGCAGGGAACACTTGGTACAGAAAGGGGAAAGGGCGTGAGGTTAAAGCACCCCTACCTGCTCCTGAGCCAGCAAGGCCTTCTTCTTCATGACTTTCATGGCATAGATGTCCCCAGTTGCTCTCTCGCTTACCACCCGCACTTCGGCAAAGTGACCACAACCTACAAGACTTCTGACTTCAAAGTCCTTTGCTGAAGGCTGGAGCCCCTGTAACTGAGCTATGGCGTCAGAATCTGCAAAAGATGGAAGTTACTCCCGGGTAAATAAAGCACTTCCAATACAAGCATCTTTATGAAAGCAAAAGAAAGAAAGAAAAAAAGTGTTCTTATGTCTTCCCTCACTGTCAAAAGACATTTAGTCACTTTCTCATCCGTCATGAATAATTATAAAATCAGCACAAAAGTGTTTTTATATGTTAAGTTAAAATTAAGGGCTCCAGAAATTTCAAAGCACAGTTTCCATGGTAGCTCTAATTTGAATCCTGTAGACTGAGAAAATAGAAGAATACAAATCATGCTTTTCTTTCCTCCTCTCTGAAGGCTGCAGGGCAGTGTTTGGTCAAACACGCTTATCAGCATTTAGACTGGTTTATAATGTGATGTAAGCAAAATGATTCCCATCTTAATCAACTCTGGAGTTCATTTCCAGATCATTCCATACTGATTATGTGTCCTGTTCAGTTTTATCCCACTAGCCCACGTTTCATCTCCCTTGGATTATATCAGTAATACCTGCCGTGCCTTAATATGTAGCAGTGCTACCAAAAAAAAAAAAAAAATAGTGCAAGGAACCAAATGGAGCCCTGACATTTGCTCTGCAAAGCTGACATGTCACACTTCTGGAAGGGTTTACAACACTATCTTGTTTCTTAGCCTATAGTCTTATTTCTTTTACAAAAGCAATCTCTCAGCCGTTGTCTTAGTCTGCTCAGGCTGCTATAAAACAAAATACTATAGCAGAGGTAACTCAAACAATAGGCATTTCTCATAGTTCTGGAGGCTGGGAAGTCCAAGATCAAGGTGCCAGCAGACGGAGTTCCTGGGGAGAACCAACTTCCTGGCTTACAGACGGCCACCTTCTCACTGCGTCCTCACATGGGGGAGAGAGGGAGCCCTAGTCTCCCTTCCTCTTCTTGTAAGGACACTAATTCCATCATGGGGTCTCACCCTCATGCTTTCATCTAAACTGAATTACCTCCCAGCAGCTCCACCTTCAAATACTACTACACTGGAAGTTAGAACCTCAGCATATGAATTTGGAGTCGGGGGGATGACCCCAACATTCAGTCCACAACAGGTGAAGATCCTTAATGGATGAGGTACGGACTATAAGGATGGCAGATTTGGAACCTAACATACATATATCAACACTCTAAGAGCACTAAGCTGGGCATCACTGGATAGGTAACTGACTCCAGTGATCTGGAGAAAAGGTGCAGAGCAACTTTGACGGACTGCAAAATTCAACCCTGTACGTTATAGGGAAACTGCATTGTATACCAGTTACACTCCAAAGGAAGACAACAGAAACGCATGATCAAAAGCATCCTGGAGAATCCCTCAGAAAGGTGCCAGGTTGAAGCCCAAGAGACTCCTGGAATCCCACAGGGACACTGGAGTCAATTCATCTGAATTCCCAGATGTCACTCCTGGCACTAGAACATATCATGGTTTCCGTGGTTGGGCATCAGATAGAGTTGGGAGCTACACTCTGGACTTACCACTCAGCTTGGCAGGCTGCTCACATAATGAGAGGGAAGGAGTCCCACAAGGGGAAAAGCCATTTCATACCTGTAGTTGTTGAGTGGCCTACTGATGAACTGGCCAGTGTAATTTTAATTGTTCTTACCCACCCCCTTTCTTTGTCGCATGGGTAGAATTGAATTCGCTTGGATCTAAGGCACATATAGGAACTCCACTGCACTGAGGATCTTCCCACCCACAGACCACACCTCTCACTTCAGCAAGTCATCCTGAAAACACCTACCTTTTGTCCTGTGGGGAAATCAGGCAAGAGTGATGTGGGTAGATCCACATGAATTCATTGTGACTGTTGCAAAACATAAATCTAGGGTGCCTTCACTGAGAATTCCACGCAGAAGCAAACCTGAAAGCTGCCTGATATTTTCCTTTGCTCTGATGTCACTGTACCAAGCCACAGCTTTCTTCCCTGTCCTTTTCCAAGTTTCTTTCAGATCAAGTGTTTGAGTTTTGAATTAGGATTCTCCAAATCTGCTGGCTTACAACTTTCTGGGTTGAACCAGATTTCATTATTGCTTGCACAGAGGGCTGACCTCCCTTGATTGTCTGTTAGGCCTTGGGCCCCAAGTTGCTTACAGCATTTGTCCAGCTTACGTCTAGGTCTGTCGCTGGCAACCACCAGGCACTCTCAATCATACAAAGAAACAAACTGCTTATGGGCCAAACCATTGCGATACTTTCACAGTTGTGAGAATCTCAATGTCTTGTTCCCAAAAGCTTTGATTAAGGTGAACAGGTGAAATACTATACTTAATTCTACAACTATCAAAAAGAAAATACCACAACTTCTCTCTATACCAGCAGCTTATGTGACTCCAAAACCACATTACCCTTCATCCTGCACACATTGGTTATAGCATTTATGCATTTATGAGCCCAGCAGGCCCTGAATATTGAAGAGGAGATAAAGACCCTAAGCACTGTGATGAAAATGCAGTCAAAGAACAACCTTGCCAGATAAACACTGGAACCCAGGAGCAACAGACAACAACAGCTGAATGTATTGCTTCCTTTTTTGAAACTCAGAAATCCAATGTGTCAACTTCTAGGAATTCATCCTTCATAGAAACACTAGCAAAGGCTCAAAAAAATACATAAAAGATGCTCATGGTGAGCACTGCTTGTAACACCTGTTTAAAATCATGTGATACCAGAATCTCCACTAGAATGTGTCTTCTTTAAAGGCAGAGCATTTTGTCTGCTATGACTACTGTAAACCCAGTCTCTGAAACAGAACCTGGCACATAGTAAGTGCTCCATAAATATTTGTTGAGTAAATACAACTGACCTGTGAACAACACGATGGTTAGGCGTGTCCATCCTGGCGCAGTTGAAAATCTGTGTATAACTTCGGACTCCCCAGAAACTTAACTACTCATAACCTACTGTTGACTGGAAGTCTTCCAAACAACAAACACGTATTTTGTATGTTACGCATATTTTATACTATATGATTGCTATAAAGGAAGCTAGAGAAAAAGAAAATGTTTTTTTCAACTTGTCACAAACCTCCGAATAAAATTCTCCCATATATTTATTGAACAAAACCGCATATAAGTGGACCTGTGCAGTTCAAACTCACTTCAAAGGTCAATTGCACATTGCTAAGGGAACAAAGCTAGTGGCAAAACACACATATGATCCATTTTGTGCAAAACTAAACAAGAGTAATGTTAGAACATGCACTGAAAAGGTTTGATAATTACTAGAGTTAGCTGATTGGTACCCACAGGTTCATTATACTATTTTTTGCACCTTTAGATGTGTTTGAAATTTTCTACAATAAATATTTTACAAGGACAAAAAAAACTGCAATGCTATGCACCAAACTGTTAAGAGTAGTTATCTCAGACAAGTAAAGATTTTGAGGGATTTTGTCACTTTTATGTTTTACTTTGTATTACACTTAAAATGAGGGGATAAAAACTTAAAGTTACAATTTGCCCATAAGTGCTACAGTTGTAAAAATACAGATGCTTTTGCCAAAAGCGAATGTACTTGAAAGAAGGTAGAATTTCAGCTAGTGTCACATCACCAGCAACAGCCCAGCTTCAACAATTATCAACACTTTCTTTGCATATTTTAAGATCACCCTTGCTGTCTATTTTTTACACATGATATTATGCTTAAGGTTTTACCATTTCTTTGTTCACTCAGCAATACAATCATTCAACCAATATTTATCAAGCATGTACTTTGTGCTAGATACTGTTTGAGGTATAGAACATCAATTAAGAAACAAAAATCCCTTCCCTGATTACCAGATGCCAGTTCCCTGTCCCCTCCTGGCCCAAGCTAGGGATGCCACTTCAGAGCGCTACTCTGTCTCATTCCCTCTAACAGTCCCCAAAGACAATCTTCATCTCTACGACAAGATTCAAGAAACTTATGCAACAGTGGCTGTTAGACCCTTCTTCCTGTGGCAGTGAAGTTTACATTTCAAAATAGAAACTCGTAAGTGAAAAAAAAAAACTAATGCGATCACTCTTTTTCAATCAGTGTCTCTCAACCGTACTCTCCAGGAAGCATCTTCAAAAATATGAAACAGTTTCCTGGAAAAGAATTCTATTAGAAAAAGCTGTGTTTCACTAAACCTAGCCCTTGATTACTGAGTGAGTTTGAGGAGCCACTGCTTTAAAGTAGACAGAAGGCATATTCAACCCTAATTAAGGTGCCTGTAGATGGCTCAGTAAATTAGTCTGTCACATGACCTCCCTTCACCTCCCACTCTCATTTAAGAATGTAAATAGTCAAGAAAATAAGGTGGGGGGTTATTCAAATACAGAATAATGAACAAATACCCCAACTACATTTTAAAGTTAAAGATGCACAATATATGAAATATATGTTGAAGTTTACAGCTATCATTTTGGGGAGGAATTTACTAAATGTCTCTATCATTCAATCCACACACAGCCTTATTAGATGTGCATTTTCCGCATTTAGCAGATGAGGAAACTGAGGACAAGGTACATATAAATACTGAAGGTCACAGTAGCCAACACACATTGATTTTATCTCCCAGCAACCTTGGGCTCTTGCACATTCCCCATTCCACAAGGCCTCAGTAATCACAGTGCCCTGAACCCCTGGGTGCCCAGATGAGGCTGAGCACGATACTTCCCATCCTGGCCCAGTGACTGATCAAGCGGTAGGCAAGTGACCCAAAGCAGAGCCAATTAGAATCTTCCCTGGAATTGTATTAACATAGACAGTGAGGCATAAATGTGGGCTGGGCATGGTAGTTAGGCTCCAATGCCCCACACCTTCTAGAATTCATGCCCTTGTGTAGCTCCTTGGCACATGGAATCTGGGAGGCCCTGTGACTTGCTTCCAACAATAGACTGCATCCAAAGACATTCTTTGTCCCTTCCAGGCCTAAGCCCTAATAAAACCTGGAAGCTTCCACTTTTGTGCTTTTAGAAACCCTAAGCTGCTACATGAGAAGTCCAGGCATCTCTGCTAAAGCGACCAGGTAATCAGGGTGAGCAGGCTTTTTCTTAAAGGACCAGAGAGTGAACATTTTAGGCTTTACACACTATATGGTCTCAGTCACCAGTGCTCAAATGCCCTTGTAATGTGAAAGCAGCCACAGGCATTTTGTAAACAAATGGGCATGGCTGTGTACCAGTAAAACATTGTTTACAAAACAGGCATCGCAGTCTGTAGTTGGCTGACTCCTGATGGAGACAGGGGAGCCAGGGAGATCATGAGGTCCTGAGACTTCACAGAGAAAGGGGAAGGTCCAGCCTCCCAGGCAACACACTGGCATCCAGACATGAGGCCAGCCATCTGACATCCCAGACCAGAGAGTCCTGAGTGCCTAAGGTGTTGGCCAGAGTCACATGGAACGGAAGAGTCATCAGCTGAGCCCAGTTGGCCCACAGAATCACAGGAGGTAATACGATGATTATTGTTTCACGTCACTATGTTCAGGGCACTTGGTTACACAGCAAAGTTGTGTTAGGCAGAGTTTCTCAGACTTGGCACTGCTGAAATTTGGGGCCAGATGATTCTATGTTGTAGGGGACTGTCCTGTGCACTGTATAATGTTTAGCATCATCTCTGGATTTACCCATTAGATGCCGGGAGCACCCTTCCTCTCAGTTGTAACAACCAAATATGTCCCCAGACATTGCCAAGTGTCCCTGGAGAGCAAAAATCACCACCAGCTAAAACACACTGGTGTAAGGTAAAAGAATACAAAACTGATGCACGGGCAGTCAACGTCCCCACTACGAGGAAGTCAAGCAAAGTCAAGAACAAGGCGAGCAGGGCCAATTCATGACTTTACAGGCCCTACACACTTCTGCCTTTGTCAGCCCCTCCCTCCATAAAAAATAAAAAATTACATGACTACATTGGCAAAATGATGAGTACAATCCAGAACCACTATACATTATGACATTCATACTTTTCCTTAAGATTTTAAAATAAATTTAATTAATTAAAATAAATCCGATTTTATTAAAATTACTGTGGGCCCTGCACACTGTTCCTACTGTGCCTAATGGCTAATCGGTCATAAGTGAGTGTAAGCCTGGGGCCAGAGGACATCATTTAAGTCTGTGGAAATAGCCATGCCTAAAGGGTGACCCATTGCTGGATTTCTCGGTTTCATGAGCCACAAATCCACTTTTTGGGCTAAGCTGGTTTGAGTTGAATTTCTATCACTTGCAGCGGAGAGGCCAGACTTCTCGTCTCCCAACTGCAAAAAATGGAATCTGACCTTGAAACTGGGTCTGCCTTACCCAGTGCTGAGTTCTTACCCACTACCGCTAACCACTAACTCATCTGCCTCTAGCATCCTTCTAGTTTTCTCTAGCTGGATAGTTTTCCAGAAAAACTTCTCCAAACTTACACTTGCAGACAAAGTTGCTCACATGCTTCATCTTCATCAGAGCAGGCTGACTGCATTCTTCAAAGAGAACAAAGAGGGCATCTAATACCCCTTCTCGGGAAAGAGGAGACATCTGCTGTTGAGTCATGGAGGGTGGTTTCCCCTGAAAACAGCAAACAGCAGATGGAGACACTGTCAATAATGAAAAGCTTTGATCAATAACATCCACACAGAGTAAACTGCAAGCCACCAGCTCCACTAAGTGCTCACGACATAACGTTAACAGCACAATTCTGTAGCTTCCTTCTTTAAAGTGACATCAATTGATAGTCATTAAGTTATTACTTGTTCCATTCCATTACGTGGGTTTCTCTCACCACACCTGGGAAGAAAAACTTCACAAACATGCCATTAGTTAGAAAAGACCTTCCATTCTTAACAGTCTGAGGTGCACAGGAACAGTTATTTTGGACCCTGCTGGCTCTGACATGTGTCCATGTCTCTACAGTAGGACACAATGTGGGCCATTTCTTTCAGGTGTGCCCAGAGGGTTGCTCAGTTCCTTTAATTCACTTGAACAATTAGAGTAGTGTGAATGGAGTGACTATCATACGGCTGAATTTATTCATGATCTAGAGCAACAGTTGCAAACTGGCAGACTGTATCTAGCCCACAGACATGTTTTGTTTGGCCCGGAGTAGTATTTAAAATAATTTGAATTATCTGCCAATGTTGAAAAATCAGATTTCACTAAAAATAAGAAGGGGGGGATTTCTGGCTTCATTTGAAACACTGGAGAATCTGGCAACATTGCCCCACATTCCTGCCTGGTGATGTTGAGGGGCAGCTGAGACTCCTCGGAGTCTCCGTTAGGAGCCTAGGTGCCAGCCCATTACAGTCTATCGGGCCTATTGACTCATTTATGCTCTGACCCCCAAGGACATGCGTTTACAACCACTGGGCTAGAGCAATGATTCTGATATGCCAGGCCACAGAATGTGCAGAGGTCTCCCTGCAAAGACAGCCACCAACAATTCCTCTAAATCTGTAGGCGCTTGCCACTGCTCCCATCAAAAGCTAGAGTTTATTTCCCTTCCCCTTGAATCTATGCTGTCTCTGTGACTTGCTTCAACCAACAGAATATAAACACAAGTGACACAGTACCAGTCAGGGCAGAACCCTAAAGAAGCCTGGCAGCTCCTGCATTTGCTCTTATGGGAAGCCAGCCGCCATGTAAAAAACCTGGGGCTAGCAAACTACAGCCCATGAGTGAATCTGGCCCACTGCCTATTCTTATAAATAAAGTTTTATTGGAACACAGCTATACTCGTTCATTTACATATTGTCTAGGGCTGCTTTTGTCTTAGAGTGGCAGAGTTGAGTAGTTGCAACTACCCGCAAAGCCTAAAATATTAATTATTTACAGAAACAATTACAAGCCCTGAGTAAGATTACTGAATAATGAAAGACGTCATAGGCAAGAGAAGTCAGGTGAAAGAAGACTAAGATGTCCCAGCCAGCGCCCAGGAGTTCCAGTGCCAGACAAGCTCCAAACTGTATGGCCCCTTGAGCAACGCCAGTTGATGTCACAGGGTGGAACAAAAGAACTGCCTAATTGAATCCAAACAACCCACAGAATTATAAGAAAACATAAATCATTGTTGCTTTAAACTTTTGCAAGAGGTCTCCTACACAGCAAGGGATAACAGACCAGCTACATTTGAAACACCTGGAGAACTTAACAAAAAAATAAAAATAAGAAAAGATTTCTCTGGTCCAATCCCAATCTATTCAATTAAGACTTTTCTGATTTATAGCTTAGAACCTGTTTTACTTACAAGCTCCCCAAGAGATTCGAACCTCTGCCAGGTTTATGAAGTACTGGGTCACGAGGCCACCACATCTATCACTCTGGTTACAGTTCTGCTACTTATTCCAAAAAATAATGAGTCTTTGTTTCTTCTGTTTTTAATGAGCATAGACTAACTACAGCAATAGTTCCCAAATAAAGCAGTGATTCTTAACAGTTTTCAAGTCTGCCATGAAATGAGAAAAAAATGAACACTGCATGATGATTCTTTTATAAAGCTAAATATATTCCAATTTGAAAATGGTCCTTTATTCTGAAAGGACCTCTGACATGCTTGGTGTTTCTTAAAATGTCCTTTATAATATAAAAGGGCCAAAGGATAACAGGCTTTTCTTTATATCTGTTTGGTTTTTTACATCCCTTACTTGGCAAAATAAAAAGCTGGCAAACTCATGTTGGCCCAAGAAATTTGTTAGATTTTTCTGGCTCGAGTATCTAAAAGTCTGCTAACCACTGATGGAGAACTTAAGAAGTACTGTTAAGTAGAAACTGAGGCCCAGTCTAAAGTACTTACCTAAATGGAAAACAAAATCACTACTCTAAACCTCATTAAAACAGTGGTGGACGGGGAAAGAACATTATCCTTCCCTGTTTACATTAGGTGAATGTAAGGTGTATGCTACACTTGCAAATAATAGCTTTCCTGGGGACAGAAAGGAATTCATTTAAAAAGATGAATTGAGAATTTACCCACAATTCTTGTTGTTCTGACATTTAAGTATAAGATACACTTAATAAACTCTGATATATGCTGGTAGTGTTGCTCAGTGGCTACCTGCCCAGCCTCTGGACTTAGACCAAAAATGGAGTGCCTGCCTCTGCCATTTACAAGCTGCATGATCCTGGGCAAGTCCTTGCCCTCCTCCTTCGAAGTCTCCTCCTATTTAAAATGTAAATAAGAATAGGCGCTACCTCAATTATGAGGCTGAAGTGAGATAATCAGGAACATGCTGGCTCTGTACCCAGCACATTGGAAGCCACAGTTATTACATAATCAGAACATTAGAAGTCCTTGGTAAATTTTGTAATAACTTGGAAAAGTTTTGGAGTAAAACAATAAAGGGGCTAAAAAGTGGCAGTTAAGGTTAGTGACAGGTTATTAGCAGCTAAGGTAAGGTCCAGTCAGAGAAGGGTAGAGACAGACTATTCATTTGTGGAAAGCAGCTCATGACCTAAAATGGCAATGGGGATAGCCCCTCAGAACAACCTAAGCTTTCAATTTGTCTACATTCTGATCTGACTGAACATCCCCTAATACCAATATTTTGGGAAAAAAGTCATCAAAAACATATTAGTATTTATCACCATACAAGCATCTTCACATAAATACCTTCCTAAATATAATTACTGCTAAGTGAACATATTTATTATTACTATAATACTATATCCATACTTAGTATTAACAATACTTACCTTTTATAACTATTGGCTGATCAAGTTCTTGGCTTCTAAGCAAGGAGCTATCTCACTTAATCCTCATAATAACCCTGTAAATTAGGTGTTATAACCTCTATTTTAAAGACTGGCAAATGGATTCAGAGAAGGCAACTGACTCACCCAAGGTAACACAGCTAACAAGCACTAGAGCCAGGATCCAAACCTAAATCTTCACTATTATCTATATTGTCCTCCTGACTTGTGAATATATCAGTCAAACAAGGATTTCTACATCAAGAATGTTTTATCTACATCAGAACAAATGAATTAGAAATCTACTTGGAAATAATCTCCTGATTGTTTTAGTACTTTTGGAGTGAAGAAGATGTTCTATAACTTGAGAGGAATGTGGGTTTCACAAATGTGATATTTATCAAAGGTTTTTTTCAATCTAGAAAATAAACATCTCTTGAATGAAAAAGAAATGTGATTACTCCTACAGAAATTCTTGTCAAAAGAGTACTTTGTTTTTCTTTCTTCAATAAAAGGACAAACTTTAGTATAGAAGTATAAAGCATAAGAAATGATTAAAAACTTCATGGCCAAGTTTAGTTATCTACTACCATCTGCAAAGCGGTTCCCTTTTCCAATATTACCAGCGCATGTGACACACCAAACGGAATTTCTCCTACAAGATTAGCTTCAGTCCTATAAAAGTAAAGGTAAGTGACAAAGAGGGTCCAAGAAAACAAACACAGGTGAGCAGACTTAGCAGCCTGTTACCTGGAAGAAATGATTCAGCCTGGAGGCCCGGCTGGCAATGGGATCGGCTGCACCAGCATCCTGCAGATTCCGCGCTCCATACTTGAACTTCAGCATCTCCTCACTGGTGCTGAAGCGAAACAGGAGGTCAAATGTGCTATTGCGGATGTGAGAGATGCTGATCTCCCTCAAGATATCAGGAATAGGGAAGTGAAGATCAGCCACCACATGGGTCTTGGTAAGTTCAGTCTGACGATGGACATTAAAAACCAGATCTACTCAGTGTAACAGGAGGTGATACTTATCTGACTACTCTCTTCTAAATTTGTTTATAATCTGCTCCACCGGTAGCGTAAGCACCACAAGGTTGGAACATAGTAGGTGCTAATAAAGAGAGACTGAATGATTGAAATAAACAGATTGCATGTTACAAGGTAATTTGTGCTATGAGGTAAAAAAATAAAAAATAGACTAAGATAAGGGTAATTGGTGTGTGTGGGTGGGGGCGCGCGCAATTTTTTACAGGGTAGTCAGAGCAGACTGCACTGAGGGGGTAACATCTGAAGCAAGATCTGAAGTGGGCAAGCCGTAAGGCTCGCTGCTTGGGGCGGGTGCAGAAAGCTCGCTCGGAGAGAACAGCCAGGGCTACAGCCGCAGATTATACGGAGCTGCCGGACTCCACTAGACAGAATGATGCAGGTAATGCTGGCATGAGGCACGGTAGAACACACCTGGACCCCACCCAGTTGAGGAACACCTCCTCCTATCCTGGGCACCACCATCCAGGTGGGCGCGCGCACCGCCAGCCTGGGAAGACCCTCCCTGCCCTCATTACCCCTCGGGAAGGAACCAACTCCCTCCCGCTGCGGGAAGGAAAGCTGGGATTGGTGTGGGTGGCAGTGGCCGGAGCCCTAGCCTTGCAGAGTCGGGTTGGGGAGAATTGGGCGTGGGGGAGGACTAGACTCACGCTCCGCCGACCCCGCCAATCTGCGCTCTGCTCCTCCCGGTGCCTCCCGCCGCCAAATTTGAACCTCGGGAGCGGCATGGGCGGGTTCCTGTCGTATCTGGACCATTCAGAGTGCCCTCTCCCATGATGGACAACGACGTATCAGCCAGGCCCCGCCCAAGTCCTTAAAGGTATGAGGAAGTGAAAGGAAGAACTAATCAAATTGTTTCTTCCTTTGACTCGTGACCAATGAGAAACGGGGAAGGGCAAACCCGTCAGGACAGGTCTTGGAAGTTTGAAATTGGCAGTTAAGCGGGCTTCTTCGTTTGAGAAATCGTCTGTTTGTGTCTAGGATCCCTGGAGAGGTCCCCTCCTTCACGGCCACCTACGAGGAGGAAGGCGGACAGGCCGCTCTGGTCTTCTTGTTCCTCAATCCTGGCTAAATCCGAGGTACTTGTTACTTTGGTAAACCAACTGGTTATCTGCCACAGTTGAGGCGGCAGAAGTTTTGCATTTGAATTTCAGCCTGCCTGAATTTCTGCATCTTCCGGGCTGATTATCTTGCAACGAATAGGTGAACATACTGAGACAGTCTGAAAGGACATTTTAAAATCAATTAAAGGCAGGAGATTTAAACAAGCACTTGACCAAAGAGGAAATCCAAATGGCCAACAAAGATATAAAGCGGTGCTCAACTTCATACGTAATCACGAAATAAGATAAAGTCACTATGAGATACAATGGCACGCACCCAGATTAGGAGGGGGGGAAAAGGGTCTGACAGTGTTTTTCGAAGATGTGTTGCTACACTTATTCATAGCTAATGGGAGTGTAAATTAGTACAGTCTCTGAAAAAGAGTTTGGGCACTATTTGGTAAAACTGAAGATGTGCATATCCTATGACTCACATGGACAGAACGTGCAAATAGTATTGTATGACACAACGGCCAAAAAAAACTGGAGGCAACACAAACGTCTATCAAGCAGTAGAAAGGATAATTTTTTATATTGCAGTGTTTTCATAAAGCAACTTGAAAAGGAATAAACTAGAGCTAAACACAATGACATGAGTTTCAAAGCAATGCTGACTGAAGGAAACAAGACGATAGGATAAAGTACGATTTGATTAATATAAATTTCAAAAGTAGACGAAACAATGTTGTTTAAGGAGGGATGTACATAAAGTACAGGTGAGGATAGTAGTCACCTAAGGTTGAAATGGAGGCCTTTCAGGCTGCTATGCTGATCTATTTCTTAACCTGGGTGGTAATAATATGAATGTTTATTTTGTAATTATTAAATTTTGTGTATATATATATATATACATATGTATATGTGTTCTATTTTATATTTAAAAACTTAAAGGAGGAGACAGTCCTGTACTCTTTTAATCCCTACACTAGGTGGACCTGGAGATGTGTTACTATGTGTGTGCATGCACACACATGTACATGCATCAACACAAAACCCAAGCAACAGACTTGCTTAATGCACTTTTTTCCCCAAACATAACTTGCTCTTCATTCCTGGGACAATAATGATTACTATTTATCAAACCCCTCCCCTACCAAGCACTTGGTCTCATTAATCTTTACCACAAGCCAAAGAGAGAGGAACTGTAACCCACACTTTACATGGAAAAAATAAACCAAGAGAAGTGCAGTGACTAATCTTGGGTCATTCAATTTTTGGTGGTAGAGTTGGGTTTGGGACTCCTGAACTGTCTGACTCCAACTCCTTTCCTCTGCACAAAACCTGCTTCTCAGAAGACATGAGAAATTATCCCAGCCTCTGGTTTTGTCATGTTGCAAGGCCTGACCCAGTCCAGAAAGATGTAAAAAAAAAAAAAGTACTTCT